CATAGTTGGTTTTTAAAAATAGATTACTGAAACCTGCTATTCACCTGGAGCAGAGGTCTGACTCTTTTCAGCGTGCAGGTTTCCCACTTGTGGAAGCAGCAGACGTCAGAGCACCTCATGCATCAGCCAGCTCTTCTCCTAGAACACAGGATGCTGCTGCTTATGCCTCACAGAAATTTTTCATAAACATAAGCTCTTCTGTCCCTCACAAGGACAATACCAGGAGGAATGAGGAAAACAGATGTTGCTTACGAGGCTTCTCATAGACGTGCTTCCATTGTAAGCTGACCTGATTCCGCATTTGCATCTGCTCCATGCACTGTGTGGGCTGAGCATTTTAGTCTCACAGTTTGCCAGAAAGTGAATATTGACCTTTGACTGTTCCCTGAAAACTCAGTGACAAAATACTCTTACTAAACCTCTTGAGGGAGTGATTTCACAGTCCAAGCAAATGTCTTCAAAATACATCATTCTATTAACCAAATTAATGTTATTCTTTAGTTGGGTATACTTATTTAACTAACACAGAGCATTCCCCAAATCTGACTGGAAAAGTGTGTGTGGCCAGAATGGTGGAAGATGAAGGACATAAATCTCCTGGAATGCTCTGTGCGGTCTTTATACCACAGCTTCTCAATTAACCTTCACCCTTCCTCCCCCAGTCTGCCCAGGGCCCAGGGGAAGACCCGGGGGCTGCAGAACAGTCTCTTCTCCTCTGTTCCTCTGAGTGTTTGAGTGCTGCTGCAGCAGCTCAGGCTTCCTCTCAGGGGAAAACAGCCCAGGTTCTTCTCTTCGCTGCCCAGGGCCCAGGGGAAGACCTGGGGGCTGCAGAACAGTCTCTCCTCCTCTGTTCCTCTGAGTGTCTGAGTGCTGCTGCAGCAGCTCAGGCTTCCTCTCAGGGGAAAACAGCCCAGGTTCTTCTCTTCTTCACCTATCTTATTTGTAACTACACTTTTTTTCTTTTTTTATAATTTTATTGTGGTATAACTGACCATACAATAAACTACACATATTTGAAGTATACAGTTTAATAAGTTTTGACATATGTACACGGCCATGGAACCATCACCATGGATGTATCCACGGTGCCCAGCCCTTTTATAATCCTGCCTTCTTGGCCCTTCTCATCTCTATTTGGATCGTTTCCAGTTTGGGGCTATTACAGATAAAGCTGCTGTGAACATTCGTTTACAAATCTTTGTGTGGGTGTACTCTTTCGTTTACCTTGAGTAAACACCTAGAAGTAGACTGGGTTATATGGTAGGTATATGTTTAGCTTTTCAGAATACTGACAAATGGTTTTCAGAAGTGATCGTATCACTTTACATTCCCACAATCAGTGTATGAGAGTTCCAGTTGATCCACACCCTTGCTAACACTTGGTATGGTCAGTCTTTTTAATTTTAGCCATTCAAATGGGTGTGCAGCAGTACCTAATTGTGATTTTTATACATCTTTTCTTGTGCTTATTTGGCATCTGTTTATCTTTGCTAAAATGTTCAACACTTTTGGCAAAGCCCAAATTATTTTTTCTTCTCTAAAAGTTTGTACTTCTTACATCTTACTAAGTACAAACTGAAATCACTAAAATTTTCTCGTATGCTTTCTTCTCACAGTTGTAGTTTTATCTCTTACATTTAGGTCTGTGATTCATTTCAAGTGAATTTTTGTAGATGGCATAAGGTAATGGTTGAAGTGGGTTTTTTCCACATATGGCATCCAATTGTTACCATATAATTTGTTAAAATGATTATCCTTTCTCCATTGAATGCTTTGGCACCTTTGTCAAAACTTGATTGGCCATAGAGGAGTATTATTTCTGTACTCTACTCAATTCCATTGCTCTGTCTATCTTTATGCCAATACCACAGTATCTTGATTAGTGTAGTTGTATAATAAGTCTTAAAGACAGGCAGCGTAAGTCCTCTGGCTTTGTTCTTCCTTTTCAAAGTTGTGTTTTGGCTAATCTAGGTCCTTTGCATTTCCATGTGAATTTTAGAAGCAGCTAGTCAGTTTCTTTAAAAAAAAGCCTGCTAGGGTTTTGGTTGGTATTGCATTGAATCAGTAGAAAAATTTCTTCAGAACTGATAACAATATTTAATCTTCTGACCTATGAATACTTTATACCTCTCCTTTTATTTTGGTTTCTTTTATTTCTTTTTTCTTTTTTTTTCTTTCTTTTTTTTTTTTTGAGGGGGGAGGAAGATCCAAATCCCTGACCTTGATGTTACAACACCATGCTCTAATCAATTGAGCTAACTAGCCTAATAAGTGCTTAGTAAGTAGCTGCTACTTTTATCATTATGATCACTGTTGTTGAAGAAAAAAACATTTATAAAACTGAATTCAAGCCTTAGAAAAGGTGTTTGAATTTTTTTTTCCCCTGGCCAGTACAAGGTAAAGGGTCTTATTTTCACATCTAGGTAGATTTTAAAGTCTCATATGCTTTCTTGTCTTTTTTTAACATATTTTTATGAGATATAAATTACCATAAAATTTACCCTTCAATAGTTTTTCAATATATTCACAAAATTGTGCAACCATCACCATTATCTAAATAACACTTTCATGACCCCAATAGGAAACCTTATACCTCCCAATTCATCTCTTTCCCCATGCTCTAGTGACTACTCCTCTATTTTCTGTCTCTATATTTTGCCGATTCTGGACATTTATAAAAATGGAATCATATAATATTTGCTCTTTTGTGATTGGCTTCTTTCACTTAGCATGTTCCTTTCAAGGTTCATCTATCTTGTAACATGTATCAGTACTTCATTTTTTTTTTCAAACCTACAGCACCTGGTATCCGCAGATGGCTTCCATCCAAGTACTAACCAGACCCCACCCTACTTAGCTTCTGAGATCAGACGAGATTGAGCGTGTTCAGGGTGGGACAGCCATAGACTCGTTTCTTTTCATTACCAAATAATATTCCATTGTATGGATACATACCACATTATGTTTGTCCATTCATCAGCTGATGGACATTTGGGTTGCTTCCACTTTTGACTGTTATATCTAAGACACTATTGCCTAATCCAGAGTCACCAAGATTTACACCTATATTCTCTTCTAAGGGTTTTATAGTCATTGCTCTTACATTTAAGTCTTTGATCAACTTTGAGTTTTTTCTGTATGTGATGTGTGGTACATGAGCCACAAAGGATTCGTGAAAGAGGGAAATAAATGCGGTAAAACATACAATTGCTTTAGCCTAGAGGCCACAACACAGGGAGGGACAGCCTAGGCAGACCCCACAGTCTCACTGAATTGAGAAGATGGGATTGGCAGTGCAGTGGACCAAAACCGACAAATCTCTAGGCAGACTGATGAACACAGAAAGAGAGAAAGAGAAAGAGGAGGAGGAGGAGGAAGAGAGAAAAGGAGGTGGAAGAGGAGGCAAAGACGACAAAGACGACAATGACAACGACAACGAAGACGACACAAATTACCAGCACTGGGACTGAGACAGGTGGCATCGCCAGAGAGTCTACACATACTCTAAGGATAATTAGCGAACATTATTAACAACTTAAACCATTAGATTTGACAAGTCAGATGAATAGGACAAATTCCTCAAAAGACACAGGTTACCAAAGCCCACTCAGGAAGAAATAGCCCTGTATCTATCAAATATATTGATTTCATAGTTTAAAAACTTCCCATAAGGAAAATCTCAGGTCTAGACAATGTCATTGGTGCATTCTACCAACCAATGCTATTCAAACTCTTCAGAAAACCGAAAAGAAGGGAATCCTTCCCAGCTTATTCTTTGAGGCTGGCATTACTCTGATACTCAAATCAGAAAAGTACAGACCAGTATTCCTCATGAATATGGATACAAACATTCTAAAGAAAATTTTAGCAAATTTAATACAACAATATATTCAAAAAGATGATAAATCATTATAAAGTAGGGTTTATCCTAGGAATGCAAAGTTGGTTTAACATTCAAAAATCAGTCAATGTAATTTACCAGATAAACTAAGATAACCATAAGATCATCCTAATAGAGGCAGAAGAAGCATTTGAGAAAATCTAACATCCATTCCTAATAAAAACTTTCAGCAAACTAGGAACAAAAGGGAACGTTCTCAACCTGACTAAGAGTACTTATGAAAAACTGACTACTAGCACCATTATTAATGGTAAATGATGGAGGGTTTTCCCCTTAGAATCAAGAACAAAGCAAGAGTGTTTGCTCTTACACACTATACTGGAGACTCTCGCCAGTGCAATCAAGCAAAGAAAGAAAGAAAAGTCTTCAAGACGGAAAAAGAAGTAAAACTCACTATTTGCAGATGGCGTGACTGTCTATGTCTGTGGTTCTCAACAGTGGGTGATTTTGAGTCCTTTTTAGTTGTTTCTGGAGTAACAGTAAATGTGATTCCTTTTATTCCATCTCGGTTAGAAGCAGAAATCCCTAACACTATTTTCTACTTTATTGTAATTTATTTGAATGTCAAGCTGATTCATGGTGCTTGACTGCAGAAATTATTTCACTGTTATTTTGGGAAATGAAAGGGCCCTTCGTAACTTTTCACCTCTCAAAGTTGTACGTGGAGAGATATCCAGATGATAGAATTTTGTCCAAATAGCAATAAACTAGGAATAACAATGCAGAAGGAATCCAGAGGGAGGGTAAGAGGGATAACTAGTAACTTCTCAGCTGTAAAGACCCAAGATAATATTATTTGGTCAGTATTTCTTACAACATTTTAATCTCAAAGTAAAAGGAAAGCGTGATAGGTTAGGCTTAGGAAGACCAGACTGACTTGATGGCAAGTTGTCATGTCCCAACTTGAGCTCTTTAGAAGAAATACTAGGGGAAGCTCATGATGTTTGGGAGAAGACCTCTTTAACTCTGGAGGCTTATCACTTAACTGTCAAGGCTAAAGAAAGGGATAAATGCTTCATCCATATTTTGTTCTGACCCAGTATGACTTTCTGGTGCTGCCACACAACACTCATGCTCTTCCTTTTTGTCTGTGCTCCAGGTTTTCTGTCACAGCTGGTCTCTGACAAGCCTCTGACTGAATGCATCCGTGGTGGCCACTATGCAGCAAGCATCATAATTAGGCGGACCGGCTGCACCTTTCCTGAGAAGCCAGACTTTCACTGATGGAAGAGCAAAAAGCCCAAGCCCAAGGACACTGTCCTGATTGCTTTCTGAGAATTTCCATATTGTTAAAGAAGAAATTATCTGTCTTGTTTTCCTGCTGTAATAATGTTCATTCTTAATTTAGTGGGTACAGGAATGCTCATAAAATCTTTATGCTCTCAACAACCTAAAAAATGATGTCTGTTTCCATAGTTTGATAGTGTCACTTAAATGTCAATTAAACAGGAATATAACATTTCAATAGAAATTTTTAGTTCATTTTAAATTACTTTCTAAAGTCATGTGTATTTAGTAATTGATCAGTATTTTTACATTTCTGCTTTAAATGCAGATGTAATTTAATATAATAGATTTTTTAAAGGAATTGATCCTAGCACATCAATCTTTAGCTTTTTATACAAATATACTTAATTTAGGAGTGTATGTACATATACATACACGCATGTACATAAATGTAACACATATGTACATGATAAATAGTCAAATAAGGAACAGAACATTCATCTTGCCAAGTTATGCCAAATAATCTCTTCAGTGTGCACTCAAACATGTAATAAACTTTGGATAATTAAATAATTTGCCAAATTTTATGTTATATTACAATATTCAAATCATAATCTTATACTTACTTATGGTACTCTGTAATTTGATACAAATAAAAACTTGTCATATAGGAATTTTTTCCTGTCTTTGCACTATGCTCAACAAACTAGGGAGGAAAGATTATTATTTAATACTGGGCCCTGAAGTGGTGCCTAATGTTTTGATGGAATTAGGAAGAACAACATAACACATTAAAAAATAACTATCGGAAATCAATAAGTCACTATTTTAAGGAAAACAAATGGTATAATAGAAACTCTGAAGTCAGACTTAATGACCTTTATATGCCCTTGGGCAAATCTTTGAGCCTCAATTTTCTTTCTATAAAATGGGATAATAACCCCTTTCTATAAAATGAGATAATTTGAGAGAGAATACCAAGTGTAGAATACCAAAAGCACTAGGCGTAAAAGAAAAAAGATTGATAAATTGAACTTCAAAAAATCAAAACAATTGTAAAATCTAGATGGATGTTTGCCATATAATACTTCCCAACATTTTTTGTATTGTTGAAATTTTTCCTAGTAAAATGTTGGGGAAAATATAAAGTAGTTAAATAGGAAAACCTAGTAAACTTGATTGATAGCAGCACCTCACAAATAAAACAGTAGAGTACACAAAACTGCATATTATTCACTTCAGAATGTAATTGTTAAAATGAATTCCATGACTAAATTAGCCAATCCCGGGCAGCTGCGAACTTCTTGGACCACCATCATTTCCACGGCTCCTCACCTCCCAACCCAGCCGGCGTTTGGAATATTCATGAACTGCTCCTGCAAACACCAACCAGACCTCTGCCCAGCCTGACCCCCAACCCTCTGCAGTCTGCTTCTGCCTCTTCTGAAGCATCTCTTCCCCCGATCACCAGAAAATTCCTACGTGTCAAATCCAGTGGTCAGTTTTCAGTCCAGCCCTCCCTCAGCTTTTCTCAGTAGCTGACGTGAGGGAGCACAGTCCTGAAACTTACTCTCGGGGCTTTCACACAACCGCTTTTCCCTCATTCTCTTGCCTGCTTTCTTAGTCTCCTTTAGGGACACTTCCTCGGTCCTTCTCCTAAGTGTTAAGGAGCCTCCGCGCCCACAAGCCTTTTGTCACTCCATGAGCTCCTAGGTGACCAATTTGACTCCCTGAATTCATCTCTCACCTAATTATTCTCAAACCTCTGTCTCTAACCCTGATCTCCTTCCATCTTCAGGCTCATTACCCTTGGGCCAGCCCTTGGGATACTCTGCAGATACACCGGTTGTCAAAGCAGAACTTACCTTCTCGTGAACATCCAGGCCCAGTCTCCTCCTCCTACTTTTCCTATCTCCATTAATAGAAATGAGTCTTTCTGACTTTTTTCCTCCTCACCCATATATCGAATTGATCCCTAAGTTCTGTTAGCTCTGCCTCTCTTAAATCTCTTCCTCATGTCTTCTTTCCCTTAGGCGTAATTTAGACCATCATCATGTCTAACTAATTTCCCCAACTCTGGTTCTTCCTCTTCATTCATCAATCCTGCCTTACCATGGGGGATCCTTGCTGAAGCAGAAACACAGTTACATTCCCTAGTCTGTTTAAATTGCCTGACCACCACCCCTTAACCACTTTAACAGCCTTCCTGCTGGCACATCTCCTTAAAACTCTCCACTCCAGCCCAAACATGCCTTATAACTACGCTCATGCTTCTACCTGCACTACTGTTTTCCCTCTACACCTACTCATATTTAAAGATCCACTTCAAAAATCAGGTCTTTTATAAAGTTTTCTCTAAACCTCCCAGGCAATTGGTTGCTACTTCATCCTATTTCCTCTCAAAGTACCTTGCATATTTCCCTATCACAGTTTACACAATCCTATTGTATCATATAACCGTTTGCTGATGTATATATCTTCTCTAAGGTAGGGCTAACCACTGCCATGTAGTGGATGCCGAATAAATGTTTGCTCAATGAAGGCCTTTCTCACTTCTCCTGATCTCTGCAGTGAGTTAGATACTTAGGGATGGCAGGGCCACCAAGGATTTCAGCTGCCATGATAGCTATAATTATTCATAAGTCTGGTTTTACTTCTGCTCCCATTCTCCATATTGGAACCCTTACTCCCTCCCTGTTTAGCTCCATTCTTAGAAGTCTGTCCCCTAAGTGGGCGAGAGAAAAGGAGTCCCAGGTTGCCACAACTAGACCATCCCCACCCCACATCTCCCCATCCTTTGTGACTTTGTAACTGTGATCCTTTTTCAACTAAGAAAAAACTAAAGTGTACCTGGAAATTGAGAACCTGGGCTCTAATCTAATCCCTGCAGTAACTAGCTAATAGGGGACAAATGATTCCCTCATTCTGTGCTTCACCTTCTCTTTAAAATGAGTTGGTGCGAGACATTTGTGAAGGCCTAGGACAATCTATAGATTTGCACTCATTCATTCATTCATGCTTTCAACAAACATTCACCAACCAGTTGCTGTGTCAATGTGCTAGGTGCATGTACCTAGCACTCAGTAAAGTGTGTGTGTGTGTGTGTGTGTGTGTGCTGTAACAGTGTTATTGACTTTTTTATGTTTTAATTCTCTGTATAGAGCTGTTGCCTCCCCACCAAGTTCTCTCTTGGCCAAAATTATTTTTCTCTGAATTTCTCCTTCAAAGTCTGCTAAGTAGCATAGAGTAGAGGTTGACAGCATGGGTTTTAAAGCTAGATTTCCAAGGTTTGAATCCTGGCTCTACCCCCGCCCCCAGCTATGAGATACTGGATGAGTTGCTAAACTTCCTGGTGCTTCAGTTTCTGCACATTTGAAGTGCAGTAATACCTACCCCATTATGTCATTGTAAAGAGCAAAAGTGTTAATACATGTAGGCATTTATAATGTTCTCTGAAACTAAAGTTCTTAAGACATGGTAGCTATTGTTATTTGCTACCTATGGTTCATATGGTACTTACCTTGCCACGAACTCAGTTCTGACCCAGATAAAGGACAGCAGTTAGATCTGTGGCCACATCCCTTATTTATGTTCCTTTAAATAACTTTTCTTGGAAAAGTTTTTTAGACCTACACTGTCTAATATGGTAGCTATGAGCCACATGTAATTATTGAGCACTTGAAATGTGGCTAATTAGAAAAGTTGTGCTGCAAGTATAAAGTAAACCAAATTTTGAAGACCTAGAGGAGAGACATCAGTGAAAATGATAAAGAAACACCAAAAGTCTGCGCCTCTATAAAAGCAACTAAAAACTGTCAAATACAAATTTTTCAGAGCTCTGAACAATAATCTAAAGCTTGAAGCAATTTAGGGAGCACTTTTTAATTTTTATTTAATTTTATTTATTTATTTGTTTTTTGTTTGTTTGTTTTTTGGTGGCTGGCCAGTAAAGGGATCCAGACCCATGACCTTACCAGCACCATACTCTCCCAAGAGCTAACTGGCCAACCCAAGGGAGAATTTTTTTAAGAAGAGCTATTGCATCTTGATAAGAGCAATGAGCTTTGTGGCATTTTACCTTTCCCTAGTCCCATCCCTCACATTCCAAGGAATACAAGAAAGTATGGCCTATACATGGGAGAAAAAAATCAACAAAAAATTGTTCCTATAGAAGCCCAGACATTGGATTTACTAGACCAAGACTTTCTTTTTTTTTTTCCTTTTTGTCTTTTTTTTTTACTGACCGGTAACGGGATCACAACCCTCGGTGTCGCGCCCATACCGGAGACCGGCAATGGGATCGCAACCCTCGGTGTTGCGCCCGCACCGCGCTCAGCCAGTGAGCGGGAACCGTAGACCAAGACTTTAAACCAGCCATTTTAAATATATCCAAACAGCTAAAGAAAACATGTCTGAAGAACTAAAGAAAAGCATGATGTCTCACCAGAGAACATCAATAAAATGATAGAAAACATAAAAAGGAACCAAACAGAAATTCTGGAGCTAAACATTATAATAACAAATGAAAAAATCATGAGGGGGCTTAATAGCAGAGCTGAACAAGCAGAAGAAACAATAAGTAGGCAGGCAACTCCGGCAAGGAGCATGCCAGGAGCCGATAGCAGCCCCCTCCACCCAGAAGTAGGCAAGGAGCATGCACAGGGTCCTAGGCAGGAGCTGAGGGCAGCACCCCTGCATGCCAAAATGCCACTTCTGCACAAGTGGCCCACCACAGCTACAGCCACAGCCATGGCTGAGGCTTGATGCCACAGCAGTAGCCACAGCCACCATGCAGGAGCTTGACTGCATTAACACAAGGAGAGTCACCAGCAGAGACTGGAAAAAGAAGAGGATATCACTCTCCTCAAAGCCCACTCTAGAGTAATAGAAGAAAGCACTCTACTGCATGACGAGATATCAATGTAGAGATACTAGAAATGCAAAAATCCAAGAAAATATGAGACCACTAAAAGAATACAGAAATATCAGACCCTGTAAATGACTGAAAAGGAATTCCGAGCAGCAATCTTAAGGAAACTCACTGAGATACAAGAACGCTCAGTCAGAAAACATAATGAAACAAGAAAAAAAAATCCAGGATAGGAAGGAGGAAATTTGCAAAGAGATTAATACCTTAAAAAAGAATGTCACTGAACTCATGGAACTGAAAGTTTCAGTCAACGAAACAAAAAACACAACTGAGAGTTTAAGCACCAGGTTAGAACAAGTAAAAGAAAGATTATTGATCTTGAAGATACTCTTTCTGAAATAACCCAGATGGACTGAAAAAAGGGGTGGGGGGTGGGGAAAGAATTTTTAAAAATGAAGAAAATCTAAGAGCTAGCAGACAACCTTAAGCATACAAACATTCAAATCATGGGTGTTCCAGAAGGGGAAGAGAAAGGAGAAGGCATGGAAAATCTAATCAATGAAATAATAATGGAAAACTTCCCAGGTATAGAGAGAAACACAGACCTTCAGATCCAGGAGGCTCAAAGATTACCAAACAGATTCAACCCAAAAAGATTCTCTCCAAGACACATTATAGTCAAACTGGCAAAGCTCACAGACAAAGAGAATCTTAGAAGAAGCAAGAGAAAAGCATCAAGTCACCTATAAGGGACTATCAGACTAACAGCAGACTTCTCAACAGAAACTCTATAGGCCAGAAGAA